CGTGATGAAGTACCAAGAGACACTTGTAGAAGAGACACTTGTAGTTATAGGTATATGTTTTTTCAATAAGTCGTTGGATCATTTTTTTTTCCGTTTGCAAATGCATGATGTACCAATACACTGGCCTTTTTCACCTAGTTTATCATGGAAAATATATGCACAGACCGGACAAGCCTACTAGACACATAGGGAGTAATAAGTTGAATTAGCTTGTAGCCGGTTAAGGCGAATCGAATCGGCATTTGCCTCCTTACCCCAAAGGCCTTTAAATTTTGTTATTAATTCAAAATGGAAAATATTCAAATACATACATTATAAAATAAGTAACGTTCTACTAGAAATTCTCATCAAAATTTGTTAAAAAAATCATTAGAAATCCCAAAAATATCGTAAAAAGACCCAAAAATTTCACGACTGCGGCGCTTTTTTTCCCGCAGCGCTTGCGGCTTAGCGGCCACTGCTGCAAGGATCACTTCCTGCAATTTTGCCCCTCTCCCCCCCACCCAAGACAAAATCCTGACTACGCCTATGGTGCTGCCGAAGCCGAGTATAGCTGAGCTGCCGAAGATGCACGAATTTCAATAATATGAAGGAACCTACAGGGACGATCAATGATCCTCGTGGTAATCCTGTAGTAAAATGGGTATCTTTCAACTGGTCCTATTTAAGTCTATGTGTCCAGTAGCGTAGTCCTGTCTGTCTAATTAATTCTATTTATGTTAATTTTTGGAGCCCAAGCCCCCACAGTAATTTTGAAATTCCGAAGCCTGTGAAGTTAACAGCAACGAAGGACCACCCAGAATATCACTTCTCACAGCCAAATCTAAAGTTGCTCCCACCAGAACAAGAACTAGGTACACTCACAAGATTAGAGCTATGTGCAGCTGTTCTTCTCATGAGAAGAATCATCACTACATTATCAATAGAGGAAGTTGATAAATATGCATGAACTGATTCAATGATAACAATATCATGGATAAAGCAAGACGTTACAAGATGGAAGACATTCGTGGCAAACCGGACGGCAGAGATTAACTCCCTAATACCAGACAAAAGTTGGAACCATATCAGAACTTCAGACACTATCTCAAGAGGCATGGATGCAACAAAACTGAAACAGTTCAAAATGTGGTGGAATGGTCCAGATTGGCTAGCGTCAAAACCCAATATGGAAGTATTGTCACGAAAAATGAAAATACCTCCAGTTACAGAAGAAGTAAAACTGTATCACGCAACAATTATTACAGCAGAGGATACCAACCAGATGAAAATCACTAGCAGATTTTCGTCACTTACTAAGATGATTCTAGTTCTAACGTACTGTCGTCGAATGCTGAAAGAAAACTGGCACAGAAAAGGTCCACAAACAAGAACAACGTTGCCAGTTCAGAGGAGAAATAAAGTCACTTTAAAAAAAGAATAAAAATAAAAATCATCATCCTGTAACAAAACGGCCTAAACAAATCCTTTTTTTCGCTTCGTAATACAATTGATTGGGGTTTTCCCAGCGAGATTAAGTCGCTAAGTTTCTGACGAAACCGTGTCAAGAGCCAAGGGTTATCAGTCGGATCCAGAAACAGTGTCCTGATAGTGTCTTAAAATACGACTCTCGACTCCTGGTTCCATGAACAAACTGCATGTTTTGCGACCGATAAGAATCTTAAAAGCGTCATCAAGCTGCCAATATAAATAAGCCTGTGCGAATCTCCTAGATTCATTCAGTTCTGTAATGAAGTTCTAGTGTTGACGTCTTTCTGCTGACTCTCTTTCCGAGACCTTAGGTAATGTTTCAGTTTCAAGTATTTTAATTTATTTATCATGATTGTTGTTTTCTGTCTATTATTTATTTTCTCCCCTGTGTAAAGAACAAAACCATTGAGTTAGCTTCACAACTCAAATCTCTTTTCCAACATGTATCTTACCCTGAATAACAAGGCCGTTTGGTCATTTCCTTGTCGAGGACGCCCGTGACTTTTTTTTCAGTTTTTTCAATTTTCAGTAAACATTGTTATTAACTTACTGTATATTCTTTACTTTTCTTGCATTTCCTTATCAAGATTTACCATTTGTTCAATAAACCATTGTTAGAGTTTAGTAAGAAAAACTGATTCTTTTATTTCCTTTGAAAAACCCCGAGCTAGCATTCCAACTAAATGCGTACAGCTCAGGTAGCAAGAACCTGCACTCGAAGAGGCAATCTAATCAGATTATTAAAAAGTATCCGTTCAAAGTTACCTAGATTTTCAGTGGGACTTTAAATAAAGTCCCTGGTGGCACGCTATTGCAGTACAAAAATGACTTTACCAGTGCTAAAACAAAGTCTCCCTTACCCAACCGTCGCAACCAGGTGGCGGTGGTAACAAACCTCAACCCAGTATTAGATCATAAGGGTATGCTGAGAGTGGGCGGACGATTAGAAAAGTCACATCTACCATACGAAATCAAGCATCCGAAGATTATACCTGACAATAGCCATCTCACCAAGCTCATCATTCTCGATGCTCACAATCTAACCTTACATGGAGAAAACTAGCTCACACTGGCATATACAAGAAGACAGTTTTGGATAATAAATGCCAAAAAAGCTGTTGAATCAGTTATTGGAAAATGTATAAAATGCATTTGGTATTGGTAGCAAGAGTAACATCTCATCCTTCCGAGCACGCAGGCGTTAAGTATGCCGGGTCACTGCAGCTTCGGAAAACTAAAGAAAGAGGACACAAGGCATACAAGGGATACATCGCCATTTTTGTATGTCTTGCGACCAAGACAGTCTATCTAGAAGTCGTAAGCAATATGTCATCCGACACCTTTTTGGCATCCTTCTGACGCTTTATTTCACGAAGAGGACGCTGTGCACATCTCTATAGTGACAACAGCACCAATTTCGTCGGTGCTGGCGGAATCCTTCAAAAGGAAATAGTAACGACCATCCAGAACTCCAATGTTCAGTTATCAGTGGGAACCTAGTGGCATTTCATACCCTGAGGAGCGCCACACTTTGGCGGGCTATGGGAAGCGGCAGTCAAATCTATGAAGTACCACCTGCGAAGAGTTGTTGGAGAGACTCGTTTGACATACGAGGAAATGACAACACTTATGCACCAGATTGAAGGCTGCTTGAATTCTCAACCACTGTATGCAATGACGATTGATCTAGATGTGTTAATTCCCGGTTACTTTCTAATTGGGAGATCTATAGTAGAACCTCCGTATCGTCTCCACAGCCATCACATCAGGTCTTACCGAGAGATGGAGGTTGGCATAGAAGATTAAAAAGAGATTTCTAGAAAAAATGGACGTCCGACTACTTACATCAGCTACAGCAGCGCTACAAATAACAAAATCAACAGATCAACCCACGAGTAGGAGATCTTATGATTATTAAAGAGTAAGACATCAACCCTAGCAAATGGCAAAGGATAACATTGTTCGATTGGTCACTCAAAAAGGCAGAAGGAGGCCCTACAAAACGGCCCATAGATAAATTAATCCCAATTCCAACATAGAAGGATGTCTTGGAAGCAATGAGACTCGAACGAAGCCAGCCATTCCACTCGAAGAATTACAGGAAGACTTGGAGAATAGTAATAATGGCACTGATAATTATGTTCGCCCTAAGGGCTGAAGTATCCCAGAAATACGAGATACATTATCCTCCTTCAGGCCTCTATATAGAGCACATTGAACACGCAAGGATAGATAAGGGGACCTCTAGAATGGAACGCCGATTCAACAAGGCTAGGATATTGAATGACACCATCATCACACATTCTTCAATGCAGCACGTTTCGTCTCTTTGTGAGAGGACCAGCCAGCCATGGCTAATTCACCACCTTCACGAGAAACAGCAACACGTTGACTGGATGAACAGAGGGTTGCAGAACCAATCGTAATAAGCGAGGACTTATGGGAAAATTACTTACATCAGTATTTGGAGTCAAACGATGAAGTTTACGCAGACATTGAAGAATTAGACAAAAATTAAAAGGAACTCATCAAGACCTCTAACCACCAAGCAAAGTTTATGCTACATGCTCTGGCTACATTTAACCAGACAGAGATACGAATCAGCAATCAGCTAGAAAGATTCAGGAAGAAACTCAACGAAGGTATTAAAGCAATAAATGACATGCGGAATTGGTTGTAACGAAGTTACTAAAGTTTTACCGTGTTTCCGTATTCGGCTGACTACAATCTCCGTTAGTTCTTTAAAACTGCTTAGTAAAATAACGCGAATTCATTTAACCTATAGTGCTACATGGTACAGCCGAATTGACGACAACAAACTTAACATTCATTTATTGAGTGCATACCAAATAGCGGCTCATTTCAATTAATAAATCTTTTCTGGTGTCACACATAACCCAAGCCTATGTGTGAGACTGCACTCTATACACAACACCCTTCACAGTTGTCACCTCTAGCAAGGCACTGTGAATATACCTAGTGGTGACAGCAAGGTTACCTTAGTCAAAAGAGGTACTATTGTCAAAAATTACTCCCATATTAAAAGGGAACCCTTTTTTACAGTTTTTTTTTATTGGCTAATGCGCAAACAAAATATGGCAGATTATTCAAAATATGCTAAACAAAATCTTAAATTTGTTTTTTGAAACAAATAATAAAAATTGGGATTTCTGGTAAACTTACACAAAATTGTATGCCCACAAAAATTCTCATTAATTTTAATTAAATTCGGCTAGCTTTTAACTTAACCGCACAATTCCGCCTACTTGTATTATACACTTCAGCCACCTCTTAAAATGTTAAAAATATGTTCTCTGTTTTCTGCCGCGGTTATTTCTCTATAAGTAACATACAATCACAATTATCTTTAAAATACACAATTCTTACAATCAATTATTTTTTTTTTATAAATATGCTCCAATCAGTCCAAGGGGTCAAAAAATCCTCCAATATAACAACAACATCGCGAGGATCAATTTTTTTTTTTCAATTTCAAATAAATATAGTCGTAAAGTTCATTTCCCAGAACTTTAGACTCCCGTATTGTTGCAAATATAAGAAACCGGAGTTTCGGTTGGTGGTGCCTTCTTGGACGAATTGTTATTGTAAAAGTGCGAAGATTTTCTAGTGCTTGTCGACGAAGACATCATAGCTACGGTTTCGTAATATCTCAATCTGCCGCAGCATTTTCGGCTTTTTATAATAGCAATAAAACCTTTTCTATATTTTTTGTTGAAAAACGCATACAAAATCGGATTTATGCAGGAGTTAGAGGCACCCAGCCATTGAGCTATCGGAGTGGCAATTGGTAATAAATCTTCTTCCCAAGGTTCAATATCTCCGCCTAGTTTAATCCGAGCAAAAATCGCGTAGAGCGGTAACCAAGATATTACGAACAGTATTACAACAGCAATAAGCATTTTAACAACTTTAACTTTAGATTTCTGTTGCATACGTTCCATTTGAGCGTCTTTAGTGTCAGTTGGAATGTGCCTCTTCCATACTTTAATATAAATCAACACGTAACACATGGTTATTAGAATCATGGGTAAAATATAGCAAAAAATTAAATTGGCTGTTAGGAAATAGAAAGCTCCGTTTAGTGGTTCTGGCCAAACTTCGACGCAGAGTTCAACATCAGGCGCGTCGCTGTAGATGAGTACCAAGTCGAAGAAAATCGCCCACGGGATGGTGATGGTCAAGGCGAAGCACCAAATCAGCATTATCATGAAACGGGCTCGTTTTTTCGTTATTTGACATCTTAGTGGCCACCAAATTGCTAGAAACCTGAAATGAGAAAAAAAAAATAATCAATTTATCTGTGATACATTTGATATTTTAACTTTAGTAGGTATATATAGTCAAAATTTTAATGTTCAAAAGTAATATAGTCTCGATAAAACTATAGTAGGACGAAAAAGTGAGTGAATTAATTAGGACAGATGCATCTTAGGTTCCTAAGATGTTCACAAATGAGATTCGAGGACAATCCTTATTATACAGAATCCCTCAGATTTAACCTCTGCCATAAATCTTATAACTAATTACGAAACAATAAACAGTCAACTGTCATTCAAAAACCAGTTTACTTATTCACCGCAATCGCACCAAAACAACTCCAAAACGATTACAACTAAACCCTTCGTGCGAAATCAAACATTTCAAAATCAAAATCCAAACCTCCCTAAACATCAAGGATATAATAATTACTCATACCAAAATAATTCATTCCCTAGACAGCCCATAAATGTGCAACCACAAATGAACAGAATTCAAAGACAATTTCCAACCAATAGCCAAGTATTCGGCAAAACACAGAATGTTTTCAAACCCACAAACAACACTGCCAACTTTCCCAAGCCTACTCCAATGTCAGGCGTAAGTGTGCAACCCCGCAGACCAATGAATCAAACCATGTCTAGACCTAATAATTTTAGACCCTTCAACTCATTCTCAAACCAGACCAACCATAATTACTGGCGAAACAACCCTCATGCAAACCCATTAGTGTTTCAAGAAATCACTCATCTTGAGAATCCCGAAGATACATCTGGCGAAAACCCCGAAACCTCTTACGATTACCAATATACCTTAGACTGTGAAGATCAACTAGAATCCGAACCCACACAAGGCGAACAACTTTTACCCTATGACCAGTTCAACGAAGTTGTAAATGACGAAAATTTTCCCATGTCAGCCTCGGAGGAACAATTTCATGCCTAAGTTTAAATGCATTCCAAGTCAATGCACTCCCTTTCATTTATATATCCAAACCAGAAATCCTACTTTTAATAGACACCGGATCACATACCTCACTTCTACGACCCTCAATAGCCGAACTTTACTTTACCGAAAAAATAAAATCTTCAAAAAGTACCCTACAAACTTGTACAGGCTCTCGTCAAGCAACACATAAAGCCTTCATAAATATTTTATCAGAATACAATATTGACGAACCCTTAGAATTTACTCTTTTTTCGTTCCACGATTACTTTGATGGCATTATTGGAATAAGAGATTTGCAAAAACTTAAACTCAACATCGATTTAACTAATCAATATTTATATAACGATATCACGCAAATTCCCCTTTACTTCCGTGATGACTTTACTTATCAAAAAATTGACATACCATCGATGACAAAACAAAAAATAATAATTAAAACTGACCTTCCAGAAAATTTTGAAGGTATCTGGCCCTATTATGACAACGGCCAAATAGAGATAAACACCTCCCTAATTAGGGTCAACAATGGTCAATTCGAATTAGAAATTAATAATTACTCACCTGACACATTTTTGGATACGTTAGATATTAGATATTAGCACAGTAAGGAAAATTGTAGAACCATTTGAGAACCATAATTTCGAAATTTTTAACCTAAACCAAGCACGACACAAATTCCATTTTATAGATGAATGCGACGACAATAATCAAACAGACGACATATTTTCTCTCATACGACACAACCATTTAAACAGTGAAGAACGACAAGCCCTAGAGAAAATAATAAAAGCGTTTCCAAAGGTCTTGCATAAACCAGATGACAAACTGACCTTTAGCAATAATGTTAAACACGAAATTAAAACGAAGGATGAGATACCTGTCCATGCTAAAACATACAGGTATCCGTACGTTTACAAACAAGAGGTCAAGAGACAAATCGAGGAGATGCTAAACGATAAAATCATAAGACCATCAAGTTCCCCTTGGAGTAGCCCAGTATGGATAGTCCCAAAGAAAGGTGACGCCTCGGGAAAAAGAAAATGGCGCATGGTTATAGACTATAGAAAAGTCAATGAAAAGACCATAGATGACCGTTACCCATTGCCTAATATAACCGACATCCTAGATAAATTAGGTCGTGCACAATACTTCACAACACTAGACTTAGCGAGTGGATTCCACCAAATCGAAATGCATCCGAACTCAATTGAGAAAACAGCCTTTAATGTAGAAAACGGCCATTACGAGTATACGAGAATGCCGTTTGGCTTAAAAAACGCCCCCGCGACTTTCCAAAGGGTTATGGATAATGTTTTACAAGGGCTACAAGGCAAACATTGCCTCGTCTATATGGATGACATTATTATTTTTTCAAGCTCACTACAAGAACACATGTCGAGCATCAGGTTGGTATTTCAGAGACTTATCGAAAATAATATGAAAATACAATTGGAAAAATCCGAATTTTTGCATAAAACGGTTGAGTTTCTAGGACATATAATTACGCCTGATGGAATCAAACCTAACCCCAAGAAAGTACAGGCTATAAAAGAATTTCCAATACCTAAAACGCAGAAAGAAATTAAGTCATTTTTGGGACTAGTTGGATATTATAGGAAGTTCATTAAAGACTTCGCAAAAATAACAAAGCCAATGACCACCTGTCTCAAGAAAAATAAAAAAGTAACACACGATCAAGTCTTCGTAAAATCATTTCAATTATGCAAAGACCTACTAATAAACGACCCAATTTTACAACACCCTGACTTTACGAAACCATTTATATTAACCACAGATGCTTCGAACTATGAAATCGGGGCAGTCTTATCTCAAGGGCCACTTGGAAAAGACCTCCCACTAGCATATGCCAGCAGGACACTGAACCCGACCGAATGCAACTACTCGACCATTGAAAAGGAATTATTGGCAATAATATGGGCCACAAAATATTTCAGACCATACCTTTTTGGCGTTAAATTCACTATTGTGTCTGACCATAAACCTTTACAATGGCTATTTTCAATAAAAGAACCTCATTCAAAAATGGTAAGATGGAGACTAAAGCTAGCTGAGTTCGATTACGAAATCGTGTATAAAAAAGGAAAATTGAATTCCAACGCAGACGCGCTATCAAGACCCCCTATTGAAATACACCCAATAGAAAATGGAAAAATATCATTAGCCTGTGACGATTCCATCCCCGATCTATCGAGAAGACCAATCCTAGAATCAGACTATTGGTACAAAATTGATAATTTCCTAAAACAATCAGAGTCGTATCTACCTAACACTGAAAACGTTACTTTCAACCAACCAAAATCCTCCGATCATTCAACCTTCAATAACCCCGAACCACCTCTCAAAGGAACAAATAAGAACATAAACATCCTATCTAATGTAAAACTCAATTTACCCCTCCGGATACTCAAACAACAGAAACATTCACCAAATAATGATCAACAGCACGTAAATAAATCTACATCAAAAAATATCCCATCAAAATTAGAACAACCGAGTACTTCCCAAATCACACCCGAACAAGAACAAATAGAACATCCTCTGGACAATGAGTCCACATGCCAAACAATTCATACTTCTCAAGAAGACCCAATTTTAGGCGCCCCTTACACAAATAAAAATATTAATTCATTTAAAAATCAAATCATTTTCAGATATTCAAATAATAACGTACCAAGAAAGCAATTTGAGAAACCATTCGAAACTAAAACCAGATTAACCTTCCTTTTACCAAATGACCCATCCGAGGAATTAATTGTCAATTTTATAGTACAGTTTATTAAACCCGATTCTTATTGCCTCCACTTTAAATCAAAGGTCTTAGAACCCGTGGTTCTTAGAGTTTTCAAGAAGTACTTCAATAATAATGCATATAAGTTGCAAATCTCAAACAACGTTGTTAGCGACATTTATACACACGAAGAACAACAACATAAAATTCAGATCTACCATGAAACAAAAACGTCACACCGTGGTGCTACAGAAAATATTAAATCTCCCAAGAAAAATGCATATTGGCCAAACATGGAAAGAGATGTTTTAAACTATATAAATGCATGCGAAATATGTCAACAAACAAAATATGACAGAAAACCCTACAAGATAGTATTCAAACCTACACCGATAGGGTCCAAACCATTTGAACATCTGTATGCAGATGTCTATACTGTACATAGCACAAAATTCCTAACCCTCATTGACAGTTTCTCCAAATTTGCACAAGCAATTCCGATAATTGCTGAAAACGCTATCGAAATAAGTAAAGCTTTCATTAAATACTTTTCTAATCATGGTATTCCGACTAAAATTACGACAGACAATGGACGAGCCTTCAAAAACCAGGTTATCCTAGACCTCTGTAAATTACATCAAATAGAAATTCACTATAGCACCCCGAGGAATCCAAATTCTAATTCCCCAATAGAAAGACTTCACTCAACACTAAGAGAAGCCCTGGCATCTCAAAAACTCGAAAACCCAAACAAAAGCATACTAGAACTAATGGACATAGTACTTATGACATACAATAACAGTTTGCACTCCTCTCACGAATATACACCATTTCAAATTATAAAAGGTAACTTAAATTATAAAACTAATATAGAAAAGGATATTAACGAATTACAAACGGACTATATAATAGACCTGGCCAAAACATTCGAAGAAATCAACGTAAATCTAGGAGATAAAATGAAAAGTAAACAAACCAAAATCTTAGGAAAAAGAAACGTTACTAGAGAACAGGAACCCCACTTTGAACCTGAAGAAAATATTATTATCAAGAACGTCCCACGAGCACATGCTCAAAAAGACTTACCCCGCTATTAAATAAAAAGCTTTCCGAAGACAAAAGTTAATAAAGGCTTAATCAAGCGAAAAACTAAAACAAACAAATTTATTTCAGATCCACAATGCAAAGACGGACAATCCTCTTGTTGCTCCTAATATGGGCGCCTGTAATTTTAAGTTACGAAATTGAACCCAT